ACAGATGCGCTCAGCTGATGAAGGGCAAACTGTCTTCTACACCTGTACCAAATGCAAGTTGGTATCCTTTCCCTTCCACTTGTCCCTTCTGTGTGTTTGCTAACTTAAAAAATAAAGTGGCAAGCTGGTGGCTCACGCCTGTAATCCTAGCTACTCAGGAGGCTGAGATCTGAGGATCATGGTTCAAAGCCAGCCTGGGCAGAAAAGTCTGTGAGACTCTGATCTCCAATAAACCACTAGAAAACCAGAAGTGGTGCTGTGGCTCAAGACGTAGAGTGCTCGCCTTAAGCTGAAGAGCTCAGGGACAGCACCCAGGCCCAGAGTTCAAGCCCCACGACCAACAAAAAAATAAAAATTAAAGTGGCAGACTTTTTTGTCAATCTACCACTTGAGCCACATTCTCAGCCCTTTTTTGATTTAGTGTGTGTTGGTCCTGGAGCTTGAATTCAGGGTCTTGATGCTGTCCCTGAGCTTCTTTTGCTCAAGGCTAGCTAGAATCCTACCAGTGGAGCTAGAGCTCCACTTCTGGCTTTTTTAGTAGTTTATTGGAGATAATCTTAGGGACTTTCCGCAGGATGAGGATCCTCAGATCTCAATTTTCTGAGTAGCTTAGATTACAGACGTGAAACACTGGTTCCCCAGCAGATTTAGTTGTTTGTAAGATAGCCTCTTGAGTTTTTGCCTAGGATGGACCTCATATAGGAATCCTGTTGGTAATTGTGATGACAGATGTGTCTCACCACACCCAGCTTCTTTATTGAAATGGGGTCTCCATAATGTTTCACCCAGGCTGGCTTGGATCATCAATCTTCCTCTTTTTTGCATCCTGAGTAGCTGAGATTATAGGCATCACCACCTTCAGTGTGGTCCCATGGGCCTCAAGCATGTTAGGCAAGCACTCTACTACTCAGCTATACCTTGAGCTCTCTTATACTGATCTTGTTTGGGATTTATTAAACTTTCTGAAGCTGAGGTCGATTTATTTTTCTTCACCTTGGGAAAATTATCAGATGTTACCTCATTTAATATTGCCTTGCCAGAAGTAGAGGCTTATGCTTGTTATCCTAGTTATTTAGAAAGCTGAGATTGGAAGAATTGTAGTTTAAGGCCAGATCTCAGTCTTCTCCACCACCAGGACCTTGTTTCCTTTTATTATTAAAAGTATAGTATATACACTAAACATATCAGGCACTAGTGGCTCATGCCTGTAATATTAGCTACTCAAGAGGCTGAGATCTCAGAACTGCAATTTGAAACCAGTGTGGAAAGACAAATCTGAGAGACTCTGATCTTCAGTTAACTGGCAAAAAGCCAGAAGTGAAGGTGTGGCGTAAGTGGTAGAATGCCAGCCTTGAGCAAAACAGCTAAACAATAGTGTGAGGCCTTAACCCCACTAGTGGCGCATACATACACACATATACGCACATGATATTTTCAGTTTAATAATTCTGATAATAGTTTTTATAATGATGATGCTATCTTCTATTTCTGCTGAGTCATTCGGTGATTTTTGATTATCAGAGACTTTTTCTCCCCCCAACTCTCCCGCCAGTCCTGGGTCTTAAACTCAGGGCCTGGGTACTGTCCCTGAGCTCTTTAGCTCAAGGCCAGCACTCTACACTTGAGTCACAGCGCCACTTCTCTTTTTTTTGAGTAGTTTATTGGAAATAAGAGTATCACAGACTTTCCTGCCCAGGCTGGCTTTGAACTGTGATCCTCAGATTTCAGCCTCCTGAGTAGCTAGAATTACAGGCCACTTTTTTTTTTTTTTTTAAATGAGACAGTCTATGTAACCTATGTTGGATTTAAACCCTGGATCCTCCTCCCTCTATGTTGGACTTAAATTCCAGATCCTCCTGCCTCTACTTCTGGGGTGCTAGGATAACAGACATTTGCCAAAATGCCCAGATCAGCATTTCCAGGTTTCACATTTCACATCATTTTTAACCACTGTAAAGATTACCTTTACTTTCTTTACCCCCCTTTTACCTTTTCAACACCTCCCCCTTCCTGGTCCTGGAGCTGAACCCATGGCCTAGGCACTGCCCTTGAGCCTCTCTGTGTTCAAGGTGTAGCACTCTACCACTTGAGCCACAATACCATTTCCAGCTTTTTCTGTTTATGTGGTACTGAGGAATCAAACCCAGGGCTTCATGCATGCTAGGCAAGCACTCTACCACTGAACCACATTCCCAGCCCTATCTTTACTTTCTTACCATACCGTTAATGTTTTAAAAATATTTAGTTAGGTAAATCTTTCAAGAATATTTTCCAGTCTCTGCTTAATTTTTTTTTAACATTTTATGAGCAGATTTTTGATATATGAAAAAAGATTTTTGTTGTTGTTGTTGTACAAAGCTAGGGATAGCTCTGTACATGCAAAGCCCACTTTCTGCCACTGAGATACACATTCTGCCTGAAGGTTTTTATTTATTTTATTTATTTATTTTGTCCGTCATGGGGCTTGAACTCTGGGCCTGGGCACTGTCCCTCAGCTCTTCAGCTCAAGGCTAGCGCTCTACCACTTGAGCTACCGTGCCACTTCGGTTTTCTGGTGGTTTATTGGAGATAGGAGTCTCACCGTCTTTCCTGCCCGGGCTGGCTTTGAACAGCAATGCTCAGATCTCAGCCTCCTGAGTAGCCAGGATTACAGGTGTGAGCCACCAGCGCCCAGCAGGTTTTTATTTTTATTTTGGGGGAGACAATGGCTTTGAGATCACTATTCTGTTCCTCTACTTTCTGAGATTTTGAGATTTTTTTTTTAAATTAAATTCAGTTTAGCCTTTAAAAAAATATAAGTCCTTCCTTGGTTATATTGCTGAGTAGTTTATTTACACTGCTAGAAGCTCTTCCTTTGCTTGAATATAACAACTCCTTTTTTTCTCCATAGGTTTCAGGAAAAGGAAGACTCTTGATCTGTTTTTCTGGACAAGTCAACAATACCTCCTCCTCTTTAGAAGGTGAAGGTGTTATTCCTAGGTACCTCATCCATCCTCTTTGGTTGCTCACAAAGAAGTGTTTGGCTCATCATGTGGATACTACCATTGTCCCCAAAGGACTCTTACCCCTAGTCGAGTTTATTAAAATTATATATTTTTATAAAACCTTGACATGTTATTTACAATCTTATTCTAAGAGGAATTTAAATGAACTTGCAGAGAAATGCTTGTGAAGAAAAAAAAAAGGCCACAATGACAAAATCATAGAGCCAGAAATGAAGCTCATATGAAAAAGAAATGATCACCTATTTGATGCTAACACTGTCTAAATCTGGTTCCTGAATGAAGGAAATAAAAATTGGGAGTTTGACAACAGAGTCAACATAATGTTGACCAGATCCATTGGTATATAAATTTAGACCAAAAAAAAAAAAAACCCAGATATTAAGAGATAAAATTATAGTATAACTGTAGGTGGGCTTGCCTAGCATTCATGAAGCCCTGGGTTTGATTCTTCAGTACCACATAAACATAAAAAGCTGGAAACGGTCTGTGGCTCATTGGTAAGCTAGCCTTGAGCAAAAGAAGCTCCAGGACAGTGCCTAGGCCCTGAGTTGTTGAATCCTTCCTTCCTTCCTCATGGGCCTGAACTCTGGCCTGGGCGCTGTCCCTCAGCTCTTCACCTCAAGGCTAGTTCTCTACCACTTGAGCCACAGTGCCACTTTCAGCTTTTTCTGCTTATATGGTGGTGAGGAATTGAACCCAGGGCCTCATGCATGCGAGGCAAGCACTCTACCACGAGCAACCTTCGCAGCCCCAAATTTTCTTGATTTGAACTTCTATTTTCTTTTTGGCTTAGAACTCAAGGCCTTATGTGCTAGGCAAACACTTTACTGTTTGAACCACTTCCCAAACCCCTACATCAAAAGCATTTTAGAGGAACAATGAGAACATAATCAAGTTCTGATTCTAGGAATCACTATTTCTGATTTATTTTGCTTAAATGGAATTAATGAGTATCTTGGAATTGCATGGCCTATATAGTTCTCAAACATAATCTCTTGTTTGACACCCTCCCCCCCCCCCCCCCCCACACTACAACTAGTAGAGATGGGAAGGGCAGTCTTCCTCACTACATTTAACTGTTCTGACATTTGGCTTTCCTAACCCAATCCCCAAATTTAAAACATTTTTTTACTCCACTTTATACCTTCCAGTCACTTGAGCTATGTCCTAATCCAGTGGGTTTTGTTTTTGTTTTTTGAGATAGGATCACCCTAACAGCTGGGACTTTCCCTTTCTTTACCTCCTTCCCTTTTTTTTTTAATACTAGAGCTTAAACTCAGGGCCTGGGTAATGTCCTTTGGGTTTTTTTCTGCTTAAGGCTGGCTAGTGCTTTATCACTTGAGCCATAGCTACATTTCTGGCTTTCTGCTAGCTAATTGGAGATCATTCTCACTGACTTTCCTGCCTGGGCTGGCTTTAAATCGTGATCCTCAGATGTCAGCCTCCTGAATAGCTAGAGGTGAGAGCCACAAGCGCATGGCTGTATAGTGCATTTTCAATATAGTGTCTAGTGAGTAACAATGGTGCATTTGTTTGCCCTTTGTCTATTTCTGAGCCCCTCTTACCCTCCTAAAAAGATAAACAAGATGAAAAAACCAGCAACAAAGAAAGGAAGTTTTCCGCTTTCTGGAGTTCATTTTAATAAAGTTTATATGCTCAGATGCACATAGTCATTGTGCTTTTCTGTTCCTCTTCTAAGAGTACCTCTTTTGATCTGTGTCGTGTAGACTTTGGTTCTTAATGACAACTGCTCCCAGGTCCCGTTCTCACGAAAGAGACCCAGATGTAACAACAAGGATATAGGCCTTGGTCGTCATCCAGTCTCCATGATACCCATTTCCCCACGCAGGGTTAAGGACCAGGAGCTTGGCTCAGCTACTGCGGCGCTTGCGCGCTGCCGTATTACGGCGGAACCAAGCCAGTGACGCCTGCGCCGTAACGCATTCGGAACTGCGGAAGTTGATTCGGGGGACTGCAGAATGCGTCACACCCGGAAGTGCAAAGCCGGAAGTGGAATTAGGTTATTCCCCAGGGGTGGGGAAACAAGAGGCCCTGTAGGAGGGGGAGAAAAAAAAAAAAAAGGCAGAAGATCCTGGCTACTACTGTGATCCGGATACCGATTCTTTTAGAACTCAGAGAACAGCAAAAGGGAAGGGTGTCTTATCCCCCTTCCTCCCCTCCTCCCTCTTCTCAGCCCTAGCCATGGCTGAGGCAGGGGCTGGGCTGAGTGAGACCGTCACTGAGACAACGGTTACCGTGACAACCGAGCCCGTGAGAAAGGCGGGGGGGGGGGGGTGGTACTGTTGGGGGTCTGGAAGATACCCTTCCAGGAGGGAGGGGACAGGGCTCTGGAAAGTTGTTGGGGGGCCTGGGCGTCTGGGAGGAGTGGGGGTGACTGTCGGGTTGGGAATGATCTCAAGGGACAGGAGATGTTTTGAGTGGCAGACATCGTACTAGTGGCTGATCCTGGAGTCCGTAGTAGGGAGTTAGAGTTGGGTTGTAGATGTTGTTGCTTGGTGTGGTGGTCTGTTTAAGTAATAAAGGGAAATTGAGGGTTAAGGACCTAGAATGGTACTGGGAGGAAATGAAAGGCTGCGTGGGAAAGCTTAGAGGCCAGCAATGGAGGAATTTGCCCAGAAGCATAGATAATTGAATGGATGTCCACGAGAGTAGAGGGAATGGGAGGACCAAATAAGAAGATAGCATTTTGAAACATTAAAGAGGGGATATCCAAGTGGGAAATTGCTTTCAAAGGCAGAAAATTGCATTTGGGTTTAATAATGTGTGGATTCAGGGCATTTCATAGTTTAGAAGTAATTGTTACTGGAAATGCCAGGGTGTTAGGGAAAAGACAGATATTAGGGAAGGGCTAGGTTTGAAGATGAGAGAGATAAAGATAAAGCTTTCTTTTTATTTTGTAGGTTTTTTTTCTTGTTTTTGTTTTGCAGACTTGTGCCACTAAGCTTGGCAAGGTTTTTGTTTGTTTGTTTAATGTGAAAAGGAATAGAGGAGGTCTTGAAAAAGAAAAGGAGGTCAAAGATGAGTTACTGGGACTGAGAAAATCATTTTCATGATTAATACCACCAAGGATGATGGAGGGAAGAAATGGAGAAATATAGAAAATTATATTTTCCTTTGAAGATTTGCTGGGACCTTCCCTATGTTAGGAATTGTGTCTTTTCAATAATAAGTAATAGTCAAGGATTTGCTGCAGTTAAAGGCCTATCCTATTTTTGTCATCTCTCAGCACTTGGCTCTTCTGCTGCTGTATCATCTGGTGGTACTGGGGAAGTAATATAGGAGGAAATAGGAAAGATCTGTAGGAACAAAACACCTCTTAACCTTCTAGGAGAACCGGAGTCTAACCATCAAACTTCGTAAACGGAAGCCAGAGAAAAAAGTAGAATGGTCAAGTGACACTGTGGACAATGAACATATGGGGCGTCGTTCATCAAAATGTGAGTAAATTGTGGGCCCCCAGTATCCCTAGAGTTCTGATTTGCTTCTATATATCTTCTGCTTTCTCATGTTCACTGGGCTTCCAGTCATTTTCTTAGTGGTTTTCTTAGCACTTCACAGGAAAAAAAAAGAGATTAAAGTTGGAGAGAAGAATGGTAGAGCTAGAAGGCCTGATAACTAGGAGGTATCAGAATGAGAAAAGTAGAGCTTCATTCTTGGCTTTTCTAGCAGAGTAAAGTGGATGAGAGCCTGAGTTTCTGGTAAGGGGAGGGAATGCTGAAGAAGATAGAACCTGGAAGATGAGAGGAGACAGTGATAAAAGGAATTTTCAGAGATCCAGTGGGAATTGAACTGACTGAACTTCTTTCTCTTTTCTTTCTTTTTTTCTCTTTCTCTCTCTTTCCTTCCTTCCTTCCTTCCTTTCTTTCTTTCTTTCTTTCTTTCTTTCTGTCTGTCTGTCTGTCTGTCTGTCTGTCTGCCTTTTTCTCTCTTTCTTGTGTTGTTGGTTGTGATGGTTGAATTCAGGGCCTGGGCACAATCCCTGAGCTCCTTTGCTCAAGGCTAGCACTCTACCACTTTGAGCCTCAGCTCCACTTCTAGTTTTGTTTTTTTTTTTTTTGTTTATTTTTTGTCTGTCATGGGGCTTGAACTCTGAGCCTGGGCGCTGTCCCTGAGCTTTTCGACTCAAGCCAAGAGCTCTACCACTTGAGCCACAGTGCCACTTCCAGTTTTCTGGTAGTTAATTGGAGATAAGAGTCTCACAGACTTTCCTGCCTGGGCTGGCTTTGAACCACGATCCTCAGATCTCAGCCTCCTGAGTAGCTAGGATTACAGGTATGAGCCATGGGTGCCTGGCCACTTCCAGGTTTTTGGGTGGTTAATTGGACATAAGAGTCTCAACAGAGGCTTTTCCACTCAGGTTTGCTGAGATCCTCAGATCTCAGTCTTCTTTTTTTGGGGGGGGAGGTCTGGTCATGGGGCCTGAACTCTGGGCCTGGGCACTGTCCCTCAGCTCTTCAGCTCAAGGCTAGCGCTCTAGCGCTTGAACCACAGCGCCACTTCCAGCTTTTTTCTGTTTGCTTATGTGGTGCTGAGGAATTGAACCCAGGGCCTCATGCATGCAAGGCAAGCACTCTACCACTGAGCCACCTTCTCAGCCCCGATCTCAGCTTTCTGAGTAGCTAGGATTACAGGCCTGAGCCACCAGCATCCAGCCAGCCTTCTTGCCTGCCTTTTTCTCTTCCTTCTTTCCTTCTTTCCTTCCTTCCTTCCTTCCTTCTTTCCTTCCTTCCTTCCCTTTCTTTCTTTCTCTCCCTTCCTTCCTTCCTTCCTTTTTTTTTTTTTTTTGGCAAGGTTTTGCTATATATAGTCCAGGAGGGCTTAGAAGTCACCCTGTATGACCCAGGCTGCCTTCACACACACTAGTCTTCCTACCTTACTCAGCCTCCTGAGTGCTGGGATTATTAGGATGTATCACCATGCCTGGCTCTTAACTAAACATCTATTCTTCCTCTTTTTTAACTGAGCTCCTCCCTCCAAATCCAGGCTGCTGTATTTATGAAAAACCTCGGGCCTTCGGTGAAAGCTCCACTGAAAGTGAAGAGGAGGAAGAGGAAGGCTGTGGTCATACACACTGTGTACGGGGCCATCGAAAAGGACGGCGTCCTACAACTCCAGGAGCGACCCCTACGACCCCTCCTCAGCCTCCTGACCCCTCCCAGCCTCCTCCAGGGCCAATGCAGCACTAAATTCCTCTCCCCTACCATTCCTGTGTCTGTCTGGCCCTGAATGTATCCATGTGGCTACCTGAAACTAAACCCTTGGTTTGATCCCTACTCTAGCCCCCTCCTTCCCTCTCTGTCTGATAGGGAGAAGAGAAAGAGGAGGCTGGACAGAGATCCTAGAATCCTGACTTGCTGCTATTCCAGAACCCAGGCCTTTGGGTTCCCTTAGCCCTCATTTCAGCCCCTTTACCCCCCAGTTCCCCTTGTAGGGATCTAGGCATCTTGGTCCCAATCTCTTCCCTTTATTTTCACTGCCAAACTGCCTGTCCTGGGATCCAGTTATCTTGGCCCCCTGCACTGTCGACTTGAGTCCAAACACTGAAATTGGGTTTTCAATGATCCCAGCTTTCACTGCCAGGGTCCCAGTCAGATTCCAGGCAATTTTGCCCCAGCTATGCTTGTTAATCCTGGCTTAGATATCTTCCATTTATACACATATATAGTCTAATTTTTAGTCCTTGCCTGTGGGATATGAGAATTTAAGGGAGACCACAGGGCTCCCAGCACTTCCCCTGCCGATCCGTTCTGCCCTTAAAAGGAGTCTGTAGAGAGGTCTTTGCCAGTCATTCACACCTCTGATGGAAAGTGGAACAGGAAATAGTCTTGTCATCTCTCCCCACCCTAGTCATTTGCCAGGAACCCTAGGGTTCCTAGGCTTAAGACTTGAGTAAAGGATTTTCTCAGCCTTTAGTCGTTCAGCTTCAGAGACATCTAGTACAGCTCCACAGCCTGGGTCAGTGGGAGAGGAAAGCAATGGGAGACAGCAAAGAGAAGGGGCATACTGTACTGCTACCCCATCCTTCCTAAGCTTTGATGTCTCCACTAACCCAAAGGGTGGGCTGCCTCAGCCCTCCCTACACCTGGTTATCATTTCCCAGGCCTCTTGCCATGCACAGTTGCAGAGATCAGTCAGATCTTTACCACCACTGAGATCTCATTTATTGCCACAAATGCACAAAATAAATAACCCAACATCACAAAACGTGTTAAATACGGGCCCATTTATACATACGGGGAAAGAGAGTATGTACAAGGATGTCTCTGTCATTCCCAGGTTGAGGAGAGGGGAGGTAGCACCATTGAGTGGTTCCTTTATGTGCAGGGGACAGTTTTAAGAGGATATTTTTTTTAAATGGGAAAAGGCTATGTGAGTAAATAGTCACGGAAGAGTTACTAAGTAGAGCTGGCTTGCATGTATGTGTGTGTGCGCACGCGTGTATACACACACACACACACACACACACACACACACAGTGTATTTGGCTTCCTAGGGAGGAGGATCTTGTTTCTTGTGGGGAACGTTCAGAGTGGACCAAGACGCTCCAGTCTTCCAGATGTGTAGGAGGCACTGGTCTTATGATGCCAAGAGAGGCAAGGCTTTGGTAGTAAACGTTGGGCTGCTTACCAATACTGATGGGCAGAGTGCCTGATGCCCAACCCAGGCCTGGAATAGTACTGAGAGGGGAGAACTCCTGTGGGAAGTAAAAGGAGTGAGAGCAAAGCTGCAGCTGTGGACACGGAAGGATCTGGAAGCTGGCTGAAGTCATTTGGGGGAGAGTGCGGGTTTGCGGGGGGGGGGGGGGGGCAAGGGCGTGGTCATTTAAATGAGTGGCGATTTCACCACTCAGGAAGCAGCCTTGAGGCTGGCTGGCCAAGCTGGAGCGGGTGCCAGGGGGTCTCAACTTTCTCCTGGCACGATCCGCAGGGGGGCGCGGGGGTCGCAGGTGCACAGCAGGGGGAAGATGCGCTCGCCCAGGGGCCCAGGCGCCTGGAAGGCAAACAGCAGGTCCAGCGAGCGGCCGTCGTAGAAGGCCACGCGGCCCCGCTCCCAGTCCAAGTCCACGCGGATGCGCCGCGGCGGGGGGCCCGCGCCGCCCAGCAGGGTGGGCTCGGGTGCGGTGAGGGCCCACAGGCGCCCGCCGCGGCCCTCCACGGCCCACACGGCCTCCGCCGGGCACAGCCGGATGCGGCCCTTGCGTTGCACCGACTCCCCAGCCGCGCCCACGGCGTAGCGGCTCTCCCCATCCTCTTCGTCCTCTCCGGAGGAGTCTCTGCCGGAGGCGGTCTCCGCGGTCTCCACCTCCCAGCAGTGGCGGCCGGCCCCGAAGCCCTGGGCGCCCAGCACGGCCGGGAGCTGATCGAAGCGCGCGGGGCCGTCCAGGGGCGCGGGCGTCCCCGGCGGCGCCAGGCGCACGCTGCGGCGGTCGGTGGAAACCAGCAGGCGGCGGTGGGCGGTGCCCGGGTCCAGGGTCAGGTCGGCTGCAGAGGAGGAGGCAGTGTGAGGGCGGTTTCCGAGTCTGGAGCCGGGTCGGGCGGAGAATAGGCCATCGAGGGCACAACCTAGGCACCAACTCAGAAGGCAGCCACGAAAGGGATCAGGCCTGCGCGCTGATGCACCCCCGTGGATTTGAACATGGGGAGGGATGGTGGCGGCTGTTTTGTAGTATTGGAGGAGGAGAAGGAGGAGGAGAACTAATACTTCAATCGGCTGCATCTGGGGTGGGGCGTGGGAGCTGGGTCAGCAGGATGGGGAAGGTGGAACTCAATAAAAGACTGATACCTGATACCGGAACCCCAAGTGACGGAGGGGAGGGGCACTCGGAGGAATCCAAGACATCCTGCAAAACCAGCCCACCCACCTTCGGGCACAGGTGGTGGTAGACTGGCTTATTTCTCCCAGGGGCATGGGGTAGAGAAGAAAGTAGAGATAGCCAAAGGGACCTGTGTGTATGGAGTGCTTTAGGTGGGATGATGGATGACTCTGAGGATAGAATATCTTTGCACAATTTAATAAGGGGTGGAGAGCATCTTCGGGAAGGAGGGGGAAGGGAAGAAATAAATGGGGGGGGGCGATGATGGAGTCCTTGGGACCCTTCTAGACAAGATTGATATAAATGGTGGAAGCTCAGAGATTTCTGAGAGGCAGGCAGGGTCCTGAGCTCCAGAGGTCTGTTTAAGTGTGATTTGCTAGAGGGATATGGGCTGGAATATGAGAAGGTAAGAACAGACATTGTTCTGGCTTAAATTGTGCCTTCACATATGAAAGATGGATTGAAGTACTCCAGTGTCTCTAAATTGACTTTACAGTGTCTTTATAGAGGTAATTAACTTTAAAATGAGGTCATTGGGGGTGTTCCTAATACCTTATAAAAAGGGGAAATTTGAACAGAGACAAATGCACACACAGGGAAGACCATGACAACGTGAAGAGCATCTATAAGCTAAGACACTGAGAAGCTGCCAGAAGCTAGAGAAAGGCATAGAACTGACTCCTCCTTAGTCTCAGAAGGAGTCAATACTGTTGATACCTGGATTTCAGATTTCTACTTCTAGACTCTGAGATGATAGATATCTATGCCAGTGGGGTGCTTGTGGCTCATGTCTGTAATCTTAGTTACTCAAGAGGATCAAGGTTCAAAGCCAGTCCAGACAGGAAAGGTCATGAGGCCCTCATCCAATTACGTAGCAAAAAAAAAGCCAAATATGGAGCTGTGACTCAAGTGGTAGAGCAGCAGCCTTTATTTTAAAAAGGGAGGGGGGGGGGCTGGGAATGTGGCTAGAGTGCTTGCCTAGCATACATGAAGCCCTAGGTTCCATTTGTCAGTACCACATAAACAGAAAAAGCTGGAAGTGGCGCTGTGTCTCAGGTGGTAGAGTGCTCACCTTGAGCAAAAGAAGCTCAAGGACAGTGCCCAGGCCCTTGAGTTCAACCCGTAGTACCAGCACATAAATAAATAAATCGAATGTCCATACCTGATTGTGTTACTTTGTTATAGTAGTTGTAAGAGCCTAATGCAGACATCAAAAATCATTTTTGAGAGCTAAAATGGAGCAAATTTAGCAATTCTCTCATTTGGTTCCTTTTCTTCCTAATCTGGTGCCTGTGGCTCACAACTATAATCCTAGCTACTCAAGAGGCTGAGATCAGAGGATAGAGGTTTGAAGCCAGCCCGGGCAGAAAAGTCCTTGAGACTCTCATCTCAGATTAAGCACCAAAAAGCTGGAAGTGGAGCTGTGGCTCAAGTGGTAGAATGCAAGTCTTGAGAAAAAAAGAAAAAAAAAAAGCTAAAGGACAGCACTGAGGTTCTGAGTTCCAGCCCCAGGACCAGCAAATACAAAAATCCTTTCCTTACCTGTAAGTCTATGAAGCATGTTTTTGACCACTGGGTAATCTTCAGGGAGATCTTCCTCTGAATTAGATGACTTGGGTCTTGGGACATCAAACCTAGACAGATGAGGAGAAGGGTCAGGAAACCCTTAGACAAATCTCTATCTTCTTCCGATGCCCCTACTCCTTACCCACTTACTTCTCTAGAGCAGGATCATACAAAGTCACACCCCAGCAAACCTGCTTGTAAATGCTGATTTCGAGGTGTGTGTGTGTGTGTGTGTGTGTGTGTGTGTGATAGCAATGTCTACTGCTAGTGTGTGTGTGTGTGTGTGTGTGTGGGAGATAGCAATGTCTACTGCTAGTGGAAAAGAAGAAACAAGAATAGTGGAACTCACCGTCTCCATGTCTTCCTCATATCCTGGGGTGGGGAGAAGAAAACAGAAATGTGAGTGCTGGGTTTATACTGTGAACAGTCCTCCCCTCACCCCAGCCCTGCCCCAGGTGAGCTAAGTAGGTGCTGTCCCCATCACCTCAGTTGGACTCAACTTCTTTCCCTCTATTTTCCTTTTTCCCATTTATTCTCTCTTCTTCCTCTTTTATGACCTTTCCTTGCTCTCATTCCATCCTCACCTTTTCCTCTCATTCCCCTAATTCTACCCCAATGCCTTCTTTTTTATTTTTTACTTTTGGTCTTGGGGCTTGAACTCTGGGCCTGGGCGCTGTCCCTCAGCTCTTCAGCTCGAGGCTAGCACTGTACCACTTGAGCCACAGCACCACTTCCAGTTTTCTGGTGGTTAATTGGAGATAAGAGACTCATGGACTTTCCTGCCTGGGCTGGCTTTGAACTGTGATCCTCAGATCTCAGCCTCCTGAGTAGTGAGGATACAGGCGTGAGCCACCAGCGCCCGGCTCCAATGCTTTCTTTATCCTCTTTATCTTTGTCCTTCTCAATGCCTCTTTCTTGCCTCCAGAGTCATTAACTTTGCACTCCTACCTCGCCATCTGCAATCCTGCCTTTGTCAGTAGCCCCAACCTATCCATCATCCTGAGTATGCCCCAAATGTCCACCCCCTCCTGCACCATCACACAAACACACCCTGAGCCCTTGAACTAAGAGTTGGTACATAAAATCCTTACAATAACGCTGCTTCCTCTCTTGTCATAAAAGCCAGTGGCGTTTATTGGGCTCTTTGTTTTGTGTCTCTCTACCTTGACCAAGGAGGCGGCTGGACTTGGCTGTGTTCCAAGAGGCCCAACAAATCTCAAGGAGACCCACAGGAGCCAGAAGAGGGCGCTGGATTATCTCCTCTCCAAAAACAGGGATCCCCTCCACCCCAACACAGATTCTTCTTCACTGTCTAAGAAGGATGGTTGGAGCAGGCCAGTGCGGTGGGGAGGGGGAGAGAGAGGAAAGGCAACTTGCCTAATTATGCCAATTACACCTAGACTAATTAGGCCTGTGAAGACTTCAAAGGGCGGAAGCAAGACTCAAGACAGGATGAGCTGTTGGGGGCAAGCCAGCCTCAGACGCCTGGGGGTCGCCAAGCAAATGGGGCTGGTCGGTGGCCAAGGAATTTGGTACCGGGAGGAGGGCAGGGTGGGAAAGCAATAAAGCTGGGATGTGGAGGGAAGGCGGAGACCCCAGTGTTTGCTCTGGGGCACCTGGCTTCCACCTGTCACCGCCTCAGCCTGGGGAGCTGGGAGGAGCTGAGAACAACATCACAACAACACCCGGCTTGGCTAGGTTGAGTTCGGGAACCTCCACTCCCACTAAGGGCTGTTTGGATGTGATCCTTGTCCCTCTACGCTTTAGACAGTCGACTTCTTTCCCGCTCTTTCACTACAGCTTTTTCTGCACTCCTTTCT